AGAAACTAGTAAAGAGACTATCTATAGGAGATGGATGGGAAGGGGGCATCTGTGAGTGTATCTTTCTACACAATTTTAATTTGTGATCCAGGTAAACGTTTTACATATTCAAAAGTAAATTAAATAAAAAGGATGAAAAAATAAACCTGAAACTTGAACTGAAACAGAAAGAAATGAACCTAATTGTGTATTAAATTGGTATCTTAACCCACATGGGAAAGAATTCACATAACTTCTGGAAACAATATTCTGAGCCCTAGTGTGATATATTCTAAGGACAAAAAGAAATGCAAAGAAACCCTAAACATTATTTAGGAAGTTTGTTATTAATAATGACATTAGCGTAGCAACTATAGAATTACTTTGTGTTAAGGTATAAGAGATTTTTTAAATGTATTTCCTAGCTCTGTTCACTAAAAGAGCCTAGAGGCAATGATATCCCAATAGCAATGAGCAGTGTATACCCAAGATCTTGAATTCTACAAGCATTCTCCGCCAAATGAAGTCAGGGCTTCTTGGAGAAGTAGCTAACTCCAGGACCGGACAAGAAAATACAAAATGATTTTTTAGTATCTTAATGGGTCAGAAAACAAGCAAGTTAATAAGAAAGATCGCAGCCATAAGAGCTAGCATGAAGGCGTTTCCTCTCAATCTGAGCATCAATAATTCGTATGATGGGGAAAAAACGATGATGATGGAAATAAGTTATAAAACAATGAACAATAAAAAAAATCCATGTGTCTTTGATTTAAAAAAAAGAGGGTAATGAAGAAAGAAAAATGAGAAGAAATAGAAAACTCTTCTTTATAGAAAAACACCAGGTAATTAATATAGAAGACATGATGGAATTAGAATTAACATTTTGCAATCCCTAAACAGTAACTAATTCAGGCAAGTATCAGTAATGCGAAAATCACTGGGTGAAAAAGGCTGTGGACCAACAGGATTTAAAGTGACAACCCAAGTAATCCCTCATTATTTATGAAGGAAAACAATGGAGAGATCTTGAGATCAGCACCTACCAATTGATCAGATTTAGTAACATTAACAAAGGGATCAGTGGACCTCACACACCTCCTAACGTGATATGCTAACAAGCACACAAGATCCCTTGTTCTGGCTCTGTGCCTATAGCTCAGTGAGTAGGGAGCCAGCCACATACACAGAGGCTGGCAGGTTCGAGTCCGGCCTGGGCCTGCTAAACGACGACAACTATAACAAAAAAAAATAGCTGGGTGTTGTGGCAGGCGCCTGTAGTCTCAGCTACTTGGGAGGCTGAGGCAAGAGAATTGCTTAAGCTCAAGAGTTGGAGGTTGCTGTGAGCTATGAGGCCACAGGACTCTACTAAGGGCAACAGCATGGAACTCTGTCTCAAAAAAAAAATCACTTGTTCAGACCAAAAACTTTTATCTTGAATCTAATCATGAAGAATCAATCAGAGAAATCCAGAATGTGAGATATTCTACAAGACAACTAACCTGGATTCCTCAAAAAAAAAAGTCAGTATCTCTGTGGGGTAGGAAAGGAAGGTACTATTTTAGGTCACGAGAGACTAAAGAGACAGAACTACTAGACAGGATGTGCGAGCTCTAGATCTTGTAGCTATAAGACATCTGGGGGGATAAAAAGGGACACTTAAATGTAAACTAGATACCATATATTAGTAAATTACTATTAAATGTGTTAGATATGGTCATTATTCTGTGATTATTTGGAAAATGTTACTCATCTTTTTTTTTAAATGTTGCTAATCTTAAGAGATGCATGCTGAAATATTCAGGGATGAAATATCTCGATAACTACAACTTAACTTTCAAATGATTGTTGAGAGATAACTTGATTGCCATGCCTTACTAAACATGAAAATCTTGCCCTTTTGAGGGTGTGAAGAGTGTTGAGAAGGTACATGGAAGAAGTTTGAGGACCACTCTTTTCCTTATTCAATACAAGGTAATTCTGAAACCATCCTAGAGACATGGATGCTTATACTGGATGGCCCGAGATCTGGCAGAGATTTCTCCACAAGGTCATGCGCATTCCCAGATGCAAGCAGAAACCCAATAGGGTATTTATTCATTAGTTACATCTAATGGTTAACATTATGAGATTTAGAAAACACTTCTGATGCTCAAGCTTTGGAAATCTGACATTCTTACCCTTTAAGGTTTTAATGTAATTTATGATTAGGAAGATTCCTGATATTCAAAACAACCCTTGCTTTTCTTAACCTGGAATTACTTCCTCTAAACAAAAGATTCATATAGAAGCATGTATGCATTATAAATATCCCAAAGCTCCTGCAACTTATAAATGTTACTGCCTGCTAGAACACCTGTGAGAAGAAGATGGTCAAAGCCCATCTATGAGGAAGGAATGTGGAATGAGGAAAAACAATCATCATGGTAACAACATCTACCAAGTGCTACGTGCTTCTCCCTCTTCTAAACATTTTACACGTATGAACTCATTTAATCCTCACAACAATCCTCTGAAGTAAGAACTATTTTTTTTTTGAGACAGAGCCTCAAGCTGTCCCCCTGGGTAGAGTGC